GCATCGCCCTTTTCTGCAGCCCAGGGGCTGGACCCTGAGATTTGGCTGAATTGTTGAGGGGGAACCCATCAACACCCCAAAGAGGAGGGGGACACAGGGGAGCTCGGGACGTGGCGAGGAGTGGGGAAGGGAGCAGGGGACAGAGGGGACAGAGGGGACAGAGACGCCTCCTCCCCTGTAGGGAAGGGTATAGGGCAGGCAGACCTATAGCCCTGCCACAGGGGGTGGAAGGGGTCGGGGGGTGCTGCTCAATGGCCACCCTCAGGTCCACAAAGTCCCTTGAACAAGCCCAGGATGTTGGAGCCGTCTCCAAGTCCATTAGCCATCCAGGTTATCCATTACATCCAGGGACACATGGAGGACGGGGAATGCCCCAGGCTGGAGCAGGGACTCACAGCCCCCCCGGCACAGCCAGAGCCCCCTGAGGAAATCACCAGAACATCAATTTATGAGCAGCCAAGGGAATGTCAGGGGAGAGAAAGCAGCCGGTGCGTATGGATATGGACACACATGCACACGTACCCCAGCACACGTGCATACATGCAAGTGGCCACACACGGAGGCACTCAATGTCCAGATGGAGACGGGTGAGAAGTGGTGCCCTCAGGGGTCCGTACTGGGACCAGAGGGGACAGAGGGGACAGAGACGCCTCCTCCCCTGTAGGGAAGGGTGTAGGGCAGGCAGACCTATAGCCCTGCCACAGGGGGTGGAAGGGGTCGGGGGGTGCTGCTCGATGGCCACCCTCAGGTCCACAAAGTCCCTTGAACAAGCCCAGGATGTGGGAGCCGTCTCCAAATCCATTAGCCATCACCTTCAGGGACACATGGAGGACAGGGAATGCCCCAGGCTGGAGCAGGGACTCACAGCCCCCCCGGCACAGCCAGAGCCCCCTGAGGAAATCACCAGAACATCAATTTATGAGCAGCCAAGGGAATGTCAGGGGAGAGAAAGCGGCCGGTGCACATGGATAGGAGGAGGGGGAAGGGTTGGACACGGAAAGAGGGGAGATGGAGCTGAGCTGTGGGGAAGAACTTGTTTGGTGGGAGGGTGGTGAGAGCCTGGTCCAGGTTGCCCCGAGAAGCTGTGGCTGCCCCATCCCTGGAGGGGTTCAAGGGCAGGTTGGAGGGGGCTTGGAGCAGCCTGCTCCGGTGGGAGGTGTCCCTGGATGGAACTGGACGGTCTTTAAGGTCCCTTCCCACCAAAACCACTCTGTGATTTGATGGGATAAGAGGAAAAGGCCTCAAGTTGCACCAGGGGACATTTAGGATGGATATTGGGAATAATTTCTTCATGGAAAGGGTTGTCAAGCCCTGGAAAAGGCTGCCCAGGGCAGTGGTGGAGTTCCCATTGCTGGAGGGATTGAAAAGCCGGGCAGACGTGGTGCTGAGGGACGTGGGTCAGTGGTGGGTTTGTCAGTGTTGGGTTGATGGTTGGACTCATGGGGTGCAGACCCCAGGCTGGTGGCGTCCCTTCCAACATAAATGATTCTGTGGTTCTGTGTCTGAGCCTGACCAGAGAGCACAGACATTAACGGAACAGCCTGTGTACCTGGAGCTGGGACTTTTCTGGAGGTCTCCAGGCTTTGGTCTCACAGATCAGCTTGCTCTCCACCCCTCACCATACTCTCCATCCTTCCACATCTTCTCCCCTCGAGAAAGCAGGTGTGAGCCCCACACCCTGGTGGCTGCAGGGTGGTGGCAGCAGGGCCAGTATTTGAGAGGTCAGCAGGTAGTAGGGCACTGGGGGATCGCTTTTTATCAGATTGAGCTTGGACTTCATGTCCAGGCTTGGTCTTCCTCCACATGATGCTGCTGTCTGTCCTGTGCCACTCCTGGGCACCTTTTGCTGTGTGCAGAAGAGACTCCAAAAGCAGGAGATCCGTCCTGTCCCTGGGCTGACGTACACTAATGGGGTGTGGGCTTAGGTCCCCGGTGAAACCCTAGTCTGGTCACCACCCAATAAAGGCCCTCATGAGTCTTTGCTGGCTGGTGTGAATTTATGGCCTCCACCGCTGCCTGGAATGAAACCTCTGCGTAGATGGGCTGTCATCTCCTGACTGTCTGTTTTTCTCCTTTAGGATTTTGGGTCTTTCCTTCCCCGTGTTCTTCCTCCTGAACTGTTACGTTGATCCCCAACTTCTTCTCAACACCCCAGCCTTGTCTATGGGGTTTGCCGTGTGATGGTGTGCTGTCTCAGTTGAGCTGGGGGACCTTGGCTGGCTGTGACCTCTGGAAAGTCAAGCGTCTGGCCAAAAGGAGCATCTGCTGTGAGGTGAGGTGAACCAGACCCCACCGCCATTGAGCTTATTGTCTAAACCTTCACTGCCTTTAAAGGAAAAGCTGAGATTAAAGCCTGAGATTAAAGGCTCCAAAATGGGTCCAAGAGCCACTCTTCCCTGCTCCAGCGTGGGGTCATTCCCAAGGGAGACCGTTCTCCGTGAACTTCTCCAACGTGTGTCCTTCCCACAGGCTGCAGTTCTTCACAAACTGTTCCAGCATGGGTCCTTCCCTGTGGTGCAGTCCTTCAGGAACAGAGTGGTCCAATGTGGGTCCTTCCATGGGGTGCAGTCCTTCAGGAACAGGCTGATCCAACATGGGTCCCTTGTGGGGTCACAAGTCCTGCCAGGAGCCTGCTGTGGGCTTCCCACAGGGTCACAGAATCCTTTGGGCATCAACCTGCTCCAGTGTGGTGTCCTCCATGAGCTGCAGGGGAATTTCTGCTCCACTATGTACCTCCTTGGGCTGCAGGGGAATACCTGCTCCACCGGACACCTCCATAGGCTTCAGGTGGATATCTTGACGAATCCAGGAATGCCCAAGGCTGGCTGGGGGTTGGAGGAGATGATCTCTAGAGGTCCCTGCCAACCCCTACATTTCTGGGATTCTGTGAGACCTCCAGGTGTAGCCTGGGACAGGATTTGGGAGCCCGGGGGTGGGTGCCCGGGGGGTGCTGCTGCCTTGGGGAGTGTCTGGCTCATCTCCAACACAGGATGAGAGACAGGTTTCGCTTTCTCTCACTGTAAATGGCCTGATTTCCTGGAAGGCAGAAAACTTCCTTGCTGCTTATAAACAAAAAGCAGCACTCCCTTCAGAGGGGGAGGGGATATAAAGAGAGGGTTTTTGGGGTGCGCAGAGATCAGTCCGGGAGCTGCCGAGCACCAGAGGGACAAGGGTAAGAGAGGGGGGAGCCGGGGGTGGGCACAGAGCGGGGGATCTTGTTTGGAAGACAAAAAAGAAAACTTTGAGAAGCTGCAGGAGGAGCGCTTGGAGAAGGAAAAGAAGAGACAAGAAGAGGCCAAGAAAGCGCTGAAGGAGCTGAAAGAAATGCACAAGAGCCGCAACCAGAGCGAGGATGTCAGGAGACAGAAAGAGGAGGCTCTGTGGAAGGCCATGGAGATTCCCAAGGAGTACTGGCCACCACCAGAGAAGTCATTGCTGGATGTGCTGGAGGGCATCCAGAAGCAGCTGGAGCAGCAGGAGTCGTCAGTGGGCAGGGGTGAGACCATCTCGGACACAGAGGTCCTGAGGCGGGCGTCGGGGGGGCTGGCCCTGCAGGGCATTTACAAAACCAGCAGGGTCAATGATGTGCTGGAGAAGCGAGACCAGATCATCAGGATTCCCGATGGGTTCAAGCTCGTGGGTCCTGAGCAAGGGTCTCTGATTGAGAGTAAGGATTTCTCCTCCTCTGCAGAGGAAGCCACTTTCACCAAGTCCATGGAGCAGCTGGGGTTCAGCATCAGCGTTTGTGCCCAAGCCGGGTTCTGGGGGTTTAACACGGAAGATGATTATAGCAACTCCTCACGGTCAGAGGCCACCCGCCAGTCCCGCTCTGAGCAGGGCTACATCTGCACCACCAAGTTCCAGTACATCCCGCTGGCCTCCTGCTGCTTCCAAAAGCACCAGCTCTGCCTCTCGGAGGCGGCCCTGCGGGAGCTGCAGGACATCGAGCACCTTCTGAGCACCACTCTGGAAGGGGACAAGTCCAACGTGATGAAGAGCAGGTGCGGGAGCTTCTTCAGGACGTTTGGGTCCCACGTGAACCAGGGTCCCCTCCACTTTGGGGGGATCTTCTGGTGGAAGGCAGCTACGGAAGGGTTCCAGGCCGAGCAGCGGGAAGAGATGAAGCAACAGGCATCGAAAGCCCTGAACCTCTGCATCGGGGCCAGCTACAGCAAATTCACCACCAGCGTGGTGGGGAATGTGGAGGTGTCGCAGTCCAGTTTGCAGTCTTCTGTCCAGGGAAGAGATGGAAAGAGTGCCCACAGGGGGGTGAAGCTCTGTGTGACCAGCACCGGGGGCCCAGCAGGGACGGATTCTCTTCCTCAGTGGAAATCGGGTCTTGTGGCAAATAACTCAACCTGGTGTGTCATCGACCGAGGGTTTCAGCTGATCCCGGTGTGGGATCTCATCCTCTCCAATCACAGCAAGGACTTTAAGTCTCCCTGTCAAGTGAGCAGCTGCCTCAGGGCTGTGTATGAAGCGCTAACGAACCAGAGTGCCAGCCCCATGTTTGGAGAGGAGCTGGTCAGTGCGATGGAAGAGGCCAGGGATTTTGTGGAGTACGTGAAGGGCTGGGACATGATGGTGGATGAAAGGAAGTTGCTCCAGCTTAATAATTTCAAACAGCGTCTGAACGAAAAAACCAAGAACCATAGTGTCTGGGTCAACGTGTGCCTGTCGGACAAAGCTCTGCAGGAGTTCCTGGGGAACATCGTTGAGTTTTGCAAGAGGTCACCTCCAGACAACATCATCTATATCAAGTCTCTGCTGAGGTGCCTCCTGGATCCTTACATCTACTCTGTCAAGGACTTCCCCAGCTCTTCCTCCATTATGCAATGGATCTTCCACACTGAGAAAACGCTTCCCGAAACTCCCAATGTTTCTGAGCTTGACGATCTCACCAAGACACTGCTGCAGATGAAGGACTACATCCAGGAAGTCACCTACGCACCAGAAACCTCTGCATCTGCTGTTCATGAAGCAAAGGTAAAAGCCACCTTGACTGCAAGCCTAGCGATTTACTCCTTGCTCCAGTGTCTCCAGGAAAGGGCACAGAAAGACGTAGAACTGTTGGTGCTCCTAATTACGACCAGCATGGGGTACCTGGTGGAAAGCAGCACGTTTCAGTACCTCCTTGGATGTCCGGAAATTACCTTCATGACAACTGAAATGCAAAAAGAACATCAGGAGTATCTGAATCTGAAGGAGCAAGACCTTTACAGAGCCCAGGCCCACCTGCTGCTGACGGGTCTGACTGTAACGCCCGAGCATGAAGCGGTGTCCCCGGAGCAGAAGGAGGAGCGATTAGTTTTCATGGAAGATCACATGAAAAACTTATGGTCCACAGAGATAACAACTCTCCTCGAAAAGCACCGTGCACTCAAAGACTGGGAGATGCTGGAAAGTGGCTTACGGTCCCTCATCAGTGGGCACCTGGATGACACCTGTGATGAAGCGAAGAAAGACATCATAACCAAAGACATGGAAGACACTTTTCAAAGAGTAGAGCCTTCCAGTCAGCCCAAACCCACACCTGACACCGGCAAATCCAACACAGATCAAGCTGTTGCAAACCAAGACTTCCTCCACTTACTCAAGCGCCTTGGACTAGAAAATCACTATCCCAAGAAAATGGGGACAGAAGATTTCCACATCATATACAAGACGTCCTTACACAACAGCCGGCCCAGCAAGGACAATGAACTACCGTTTTACTTCTTGCAAAAGCTATTAACGGTGGACTATCGGGTGAGGTACCTGACTTGCAAGGAGGAGAACAACCCAGGACCCACACCCGGGCCAAACCCCACAGAGCAAGAACAGGAAACCTCAGATTCCTTTGAGGACTTTTTGAACGATTTGGAGGAGGAAGTCCCTAGACCTGCACCCGGGGAGAGCCGTGTGCACCCCATGGACCTCCAGATGGCAATTTTTCATTGTGCCGACGATTTCATGAGACAGTACATGTTGACAAAGCTTGCTTTCTGCCAATTTGCGCTCCCTCTGCTGGTACCGAACCCCTGCACTTCACAGATCGAGCTGCCCATCTGGTCCCTCAGCCAAATCAAAAAGAGCTGGAAAGGGGCTGAGAAGTCGGGAACGCGGGGGACGATTAAGAGTTACAAAAACAAACTCATCTACCAGGCAGAGACGCCCATCGTGTCCTTCATCCGCATCGGCAGTTCTCCCTCCTCTTCCAAGTCTCAGATCCTGAATGCTCTGCTGAGCAAACAAAAGCACGACACTTTCTTCCACCGGCACTGCAAAGGCAGCACCAAAGACTGTCTGCTGATGAAAGGGGTGGTGGAGATCTCCTGGTACTGTCCCCGGGGCAGCGACGACGACAGCTTTGGCTGCTGCGTGGCTTTCTGCAACCTGCACGGAGACGCGAGGGACCACAAAGAGCAGCTGCAGTTTTTGCAGGAGATATCTGCTGTGAACGTGGCTTTTGTGTCCGAGTCTGACCAGAGCGACAAGAGAGCCATGACAATTTTGCGTGACCTGTGGCAGTCGCAGAGGCCTTTGGTTTGTCTTTTCACTGACATGGAGAATATGGAAGCTGGCCGATCCAGCCAGAACGTCAAAATAGGTATGAAGAACAGAAACGAGGCAGAATTGATGGAGGAGCTGAGCAAAACCATCAGGGATCTCCTGGAAAAGTCTAACACCCTTTTCAGCCTCGACGCCTGCCTGGACAGAGCCCGCAAGCACGGCTTCGTAGTCGATGAGGATACCGACGCGTGTGTGACAGCCAAAGGAAAGGCTGAGGCGCTGGTGAAGCTCCTGAAGGAAAAGAAGTTGTTTGAGATCAAATCCCAGCTGCTGCCTCTTCAGGGAAAACTGTGGTACATGTGGTGTAAAAAGGACAAGGAGCTCACTCGCCTGCAGGAAAAGGGGAACAAGAGCATCGAGCACCATCGGAGCCAAATTGAGTCAGAGAAGTCAGCCATAAGAAGAAAGCAGCTGGACAAAGCGTTCCCCCTCAACCAGCTGATGAAATCGGTCCTTGATTTTCTCCAGTCGCAGCCAGCAGACAGCAAGAAATACTTCCTGCAGTGGATGAAGGTCTTTATGGACGACCTGTCCTCCGACCGCCTCGACGAACTGAGGAGGCAGTATCACCAGTTATGGTCTGAGATCCTGGCAATAAAGAAAAACAGCGAAAAAAATGATATGAATCCTGTGCTGATGAGTGAGTTAGAAGCCCTCTCCAATGAGATC